AAATATTTCTCGTGACCATTATGATATGATCTTATGCCATATGGCCTTAATCATCACTGTTGACATTACCTCTATGATCACTATCATCGAATTGTTGTTCTCCTCATCAACATTGTTATCACCAAATCAGTGCTAACAATGTGCATTTATTATCATTTTACTCATCATCACTATACGTCATGTTGATTATGACAACTCATGCCATTCTCGGGCAAGGCCACTGACAATCTTGCTATCGTTATCTTCCTCGTTCTCGCCATCCTCACAACCACACTTCCTGTGCCATTATGTCACCACTGCCATTGCAGATACCCGAAGGCTTCGGCTGATGCGGCCGCCCCATTTCCTTCGCAAGGGAGATAGACCACGCCCTTCGTATCTCCCGTGCCCTGAAAAGAGCAAGGTGTGTACGCTTGAAAATACGCTCACAAGCACAAGCACACAGTCACACACACACACACACACACACACACACACACACACACACACACACACACACACACACACACACACACACACACGCACGCACGCACGCACTCACTCACACTTGGGCACACATTCACATACACATACATACATCCATACTCACACACCTGAACACGTGTGGAATTCATGGTGAACAGATTGCAACAGGAACAACGAAGGGAAGGGCAAGAAAACACACGAATATGCCGAAGGCCTTTTCGCTATTGATAATGATAATGATAATGAAGATAATGATAATAACGCTACTAATAATGATAATGATAACATGATAATGATAGCAATGATAATAGAAATAATGATGATAACAATGATGATTATAGTAATAATGATAATGATAGTTTAAAGAAAAAATAATGATAATCATAACAATAATGATATTGATAACAGTAATGATAATATTTATGATATCAATGATAGTGAAAATGATAGTAATAAAGATTATAATAATAACGATAACATTAATGATAATGATGATAATAACAATGATGATAATGATAGTAATGATGATAATAATAGTAAAAATATTTATAATGATAATGGTTGTAATAGTAATAATGATAACAATAATAAAGATAATAATGATAATAATGATTATAATAACAATAATAAAGATAATGATAAAACAAGGATGATAATAATGATAATAACTAAAACAAAAATAATGATAATAGTAGTAATCACACTAATAATGATGATAACACTAATGATGATAATAATGATAATGATAATAATAATAATAATAATAAGAATAAAAATAATGGTAAAAATGATAATCATGACAATAGTAATCATGATAATATTAACAGTGATAATAATTATAATGATAATGATAATAATGTTGATGGTGATGATGATGATGATAATAATGATAATAATAATAATAATAATAATAATAATAATAATAATAATGATAATAATAATAATAACAATGATGATAACAACAACAACAACAATAATAATGATAATAATAATGATAATAATAATGTAAATAATAATGTAAATAATAATGTTAATAATGATAATGATAATAATGATAATAATAATAATAATAATAATAATAATAATAATAATAATAATAATGATAATAATAATAATAATATAAAATGATAATAATATAAATATATAATTATAATGATAATAATAATAGTAATAATAATAACAATAACAATAATAATAATAACAATAATAATGATAATGATGATAATAATAATGCTGAAAATAATACTGATAATAATAATAATAATAATGATATTGATAATAATAATAATAATGATATTGATAATAATAATAATAATGATATTGATAATAATAATGATATTGATAATAATAATGATGATATTGATAATAATAATGATATTGATAATAATAATGATAATAACAATAACAACAAGAAACACCGAAAACAATGAAAGCAATGATGATGAGGATGATAATGAAAAAAAAAATGCTCATATATTCTAGAATACCCCGCAAAGCGCCCATTAAACCGTGGCCTCTTACGGAAATTAGTAATGAACTTCTCCGAAATGGGAAAACTTCAACGTCACGGCTACGCAGACTGACATTTAATTTCAAATAAACCGTTGCGGAAACGCGATTCCCATTTCCTTCCTGCAACCCGTTTTGGAGGGATACGTTACTCCATTTTAGGATATTTAAGTCGTAACTCTTTTAGGATTTCGGTGCTGTGTATTGACTGTGGTTGATCAGTGCGTATCGAATTGTTCCAAGATAAGTTTATTTTAGGATGTTTGAAGGCAGTATAATGGTATCTATCATACATTTTTTACTCTTCAAATAGTTTTGTCATATTAGAGGATTGGTGCATCACCATCAACAATAATTAGATAAAAAAGTATCGAATTATACAAAAGTTGGCCCTTCTAAATTTACACATTTTCTATGAAGAAGTCATTCAAATATATCTTAGTTGATATGATATTGACCAACACACTGTAAATTACTATAAAGTAAATCCGGTATAATAACAGTGAATCAACAATGGCAACCTACATAAATAAAATAAACAACAAAAATATTCCTTTTCTACTCCTGACAAACGAAGAATTACCAGGAAAATGTCCCATAAGGTGAGAAAATTCGCGACGAAAAGCATCTCGAACTAACCCATCCCGTAGTTCCTCCCGCGGCCGACAGATGGCGTTGGCCAGAGAACAACAACAAACCCTTCCATTCAAGTGTGTAGATTTGGCTCTCCTTTTCACCCTTAACTCAATGGTGTGATGCTGTTTCCTGCGACGAGATGTGACTGCAGGCGGCGGAAATGACTCCAGGAGGTAGAGGTGAGGGGAAATAAGACCTGAAATGGAGGAAAAAGGAGGAGAAATGAGGCGGTGTTGATGGGGGTCGGTTGGGGGGGGGGGGGCAAGGGGCCGCTCTTGTCATTTTTTTATACATATACACTTATAAATATTATTATTATCTTCCAATGGCAAATTTTCTACGAAATGAATTAATTTCCAGAACTTCCTGCCTTGTTGATGTTTGGGTTCTTTTGCAAACAAAGAGGAAGAATAGAAGACAGGGGATGAAAACACGAGAGGGATTTGTAGTTTATGAGATGTTTGACGTTATTGACCTCGATCCAGGCACCTGAAATTTAATGGGTTGAATCTTTAATGAGAGGCTGTTGATTCCAGAAGTAGGTTTGGGAATTTGATTTGGTGATTTGACATGGTGTACAGTGACTGTATTTTCTAAAGTGTAAGAATGTATTTATTTTTCTAGGGTGAATTCTGCACAGGTTAAGGGAAATTTTTAGTTTCACAGCCATTCAATTATGCAATTATTATTATTTCTTTCAATTATGAATATTGCAATATGTGAGCATGTCATGTTATTTTCCACTGTGGTATAAGTTACCAAGAATAACACACTGATAGGGGAAAATGGATGTATTATTGTAAAAAGGCGTCACCATAGAATCAATCAAAACTGACCTTACAGCCTTGAAAATATTTGATTAATGAACACTTTCCATCAAATAAATTTGTTTCGCAAATGAGTAATTGTGAAGTTATTTGATTATCAAATTAAATTAAGATAGTATTAAAAGGAGGCGAGTTTCACGCGATCACTGAGGGAATCCTGACCAAATTCTCCACTGCGCATGCGTGGGGTCTCTCTTACCTGCTCTGTTCCTGTCATCTGACCTGTGATGTCATGCCCAGTGTCACGATTTCATTGGTCAATTGTTTGGCTGTTAATTTGATAGCCAATGGGGAAACATGGCACGAGGAAACGGCCAGTGAATGAATGTTAACTAAAATAGAGGCTATAAAATTGAATTTTCAAATGTCTTGCTATGCCTTCCATGTGTGTAGGGTGTTGTATCAAACCATGCCAAGTTATAAAAAATTATTTTGAAGGCGATGAGGCTTGCTTGAAACTATTCTGTGAACATGGAGTGCTACCTTCTGAACTGCCCTGCGACCGGCTGCTGCATTGCTCGTGCTCATGTAGACCTCCGACGCCCCCGCAAGCCACTACATTGATATTGACGACCCTCACCGCTGCCCCTCCACTGCATAGGTATTTTGTAAGGTTTATTTTCACTGAAGTGACTAGATGTACAGTGCTTCGTGTGCATACGAATGGCATGTGGAAGCACCTGATGCCAACTCTGTTTGGCGCTCTCTCCTGCCATGAATACGTGGAGGATTCTTTGTTTTTCGTGGTGGGGTTGGGGGTGGCATCCCCCAACAGGGGGGTCGAAGGGGGCATAGCCCCTTCAGTGTGTAATTCTCGTACCTACGACTGGCATGCAGGAGCGCCCGATGCTGAGGCTGTCTGGGGCTCTCTCCTGTCGTGAATATGTGAAGGATTCTTTGTTTTCCTGGGTAGGGGTTGGGGGGGCAGCAGCTCCCCATAGGGGGTCGCATGATATCAAGAGTGGTGTGACTCTGGTATGGAAAAGACAATCTAGTCCTTTTTGATGGAAACGAACACCAGAATCAACTGAACCAAAGCAATAGAAATCGAACGAATCTAGTTTTGTCCTGAGAAACGGTGGTGATGTCTTTTTCCAGATGTACTAAAATGGACATTGTCATCCTATTGTGCACAAGAAATATAGTAAAACACAACATAGGTCCACAGCATCCTCATACAGCCAGAGATTTTAATGTACATTTTTTATAAGTTGGCATGAAGTGCTAACAAAAATTTTTGGTTTACATAGGGGCCTTGCACCCCTGTCGAGGGAATAAATAGGAGGTAGGAGAGGTTATGTATGGGTTTGTGGGTTTGTATGATACCCTGGTTTTGGGACTTTGTCTCTGGAGAGTGAGATGCTCTTGGTAACAATCACCTGCATCGCAAATGATATGTGAAAGTTTTGTTAATGTTTACGAAGTGATCTTATACCTCTGAGATATGTAAGAGGGAGAGGGAATGAGTTAGAAAGTAATAATAGTGTAGTTTACTTATATGAAAAGGCATCAAGGCCTCAATAAAGCCACGAAAATCTTATAGTGAGCACCTTACCTTTCCTATAACCTCTCATGAACTGTCACTGTATGGTCATATCTTAAAATTATTACTCTCATAGAGGGCTGTCACATGAGAGATAATGTATGTGTACTCTCTGTCATCTACAATCTATTCTCTTCGTATTTTGGGGACTTGATATCACACCAGCAACATGAATGTCACTCTTACCCCACTAACGCCGGTATGTATTGAAGCTGAAAATAATATTTTCCAGGTGACTACAAAATTGGCGGCTGCGGCCGGTCCAGAATCTGCCCACGCGCTGGCCGTGGCCCACGATGTATTTGGAGCGTAAGCTCTGATCCAGCGTTACACTGGCGGGATGCCCGCCAATGTTTATTTTTCCGGGTGTCTCATATATGGGACACCCGTCGTAAATGGGTTAAATTCGCTAGAAGTAAATTGATACCTCCATGGGGTTAAAGGCTAATCACTGATGTTTGTATTGTATTACAAGTGTAAGATATTTTTTAACAAATTTGTGAGACGATTACAGAACAACCAAGTTTACTTCAGATAGTTCACCTTGGCCTGGGCAGATCCATGACTTTATTATTATCTTGTCAATAATTTGAGAAACTTCTTATTCTAAGTTTGAAAAGGGTCATATATTATTAAAATCACATTTGTCTTTTGTCTTCAAAGAGACTGTGATATTCAAAAATGATAAACTACTATTTGCAATATTAAAGAACAACACAAATGACAAAAAAAAGAAAAAAAAAAAAAAAAAATTGGATACACAAAACTATCTATGGATCAGATATAAGTCAAGAGTCAGTTACTGATTTTGGGTATAGTGGGTTTGACACACAGTTCTTAATTTATTCATCCTTTTAAAATGATACCCCTATATCTTAAGAAAAAAAAATTGGCTAACAATTGTTCATCATTTAACTTTTGCATTTTTACAGTTATTCAGATTTGCTTTTGAAACCTTATCATTTGCCATGAATTGATGAATCTATGTCTGTACGGTAGATGAAGGTAAAGTGTGAATTAACCCACTAACGACAGGTGTCCCACACATGAGACACCCGAAAAAATAAACATTGCTGGGAGTCCCGCCAGTGTGATGCTGTATTGGCGCTCGCGCTCCGACATAGCAGCGGGCCAGGCCAGTGGGCGGACAGAGTCTGGGGCAGCTCCTCCCGCTGATTTTGTAGCCGCCCTAAGTCTTTTATTTTAGGCTTCAAAATATTCTGGCGTAAATGGGTTCATCCTCATTTACTCTTTATAATGTTCAGCTACAGTACAACTTCATATATTTTTTTTTATACAGAATTGGAAGTATTTTTCATTTTATCATGCAATTTAAAAGATCATTTTCTTATTATCTTTGGTATGTGGGTGGTTGTTGTTATAGTTATGGTTATGATATTTATTGTAATAATAATGAAAGTAGAAGAAAACGTTAATAAGACAGTGTGATTTCACAATATTTTTTTTAGATGCTGAGATTGAAATGATGTTTCTGGCATTGACTAAGTAAACACAGATGTTGAAGTCTGGTTAATTGGCTGATACCTGATATTACCAGTGTTTCTTATAAATAATGACTGTTATTTATTATTATTATTTTTTTCACTTTGCAAGAGATAATTATTATATATCCATAATTAAATTTAGATGATTATATGATTCTTGAGAACTGTGATGGTTATTGGTCAGCACTAAATGATTAGTATTCTTTGACATTACGGATATTATTATTCTGTGACCTTATCCCAGTTGTGTTGATCTCTTAATAAAAGTGTGAATGAGAAATAAAAAGGAAAATAAGGTATAAGAAAGCAATAGGAAAAAGAAGTATAAGCAAAAGAAGAAAAAGAGGGGAAGAATGACGGTGGTTGTAAGAGAGTTCCGTTTCTTGGATTAGGGTTAAGTGAAACTATTTTTTTTTTTTTTTTTTTTTTTTTTTTTTTTCTTTTTTTTTTTTTTTTATGGGTGGCACATTCTTTTATGGAAACCTGTTATAGGTGAGGGTGGTATTTGGTTCTTGATGTGACCGCTGTTATGTTAAGACTATTAATGTGATCTGTTTCTCTGATTTTTCTCTGTTATTTCACTTTGTTTTTATTTCCCTCACCCCATTCCCCTTTTTTATTCTTTTCGTTTATCTCCTTTATTTGCTTTTACTTACTGAGATTTACTCTTTTACTACATCTTTTGTTGTCCTTTATGGTTACCTAGCATTTAATCTCCTTTCCTTTCTTTTCTCCTCTCTTCTGTTCTCTCCTCAGATCCTCTCATCTCTCCTTTCTCATGTCCTCTCCTCTCCTCCTCTTGTTCCACTTTTCTCCTTCTCTTCTCAAGTCCTTTTCTTCTGATGTCTGATGATGTAACCTATTCTGGGTAAGATCTGAATAAAGTACCCAGGACGTAAGAGAATACCTAACTTTTTTCTGGTTTTCTTCAGACAGAAATATATGCTGGAGGTTTATTTTTTTCTTTTACTTTTCTCTGGTGTTGTGTGTCTTAGTTGATCTGTTGTATATGTTT